GTAAATGTGGCACATGAGAGTTTATATTCTGATTGGACAAATGAAGGACACAGTCATATTCTATATGTCAATTTGTACATTCAGAGAGAATGGATTTTTCTTAAATAGTCCAGTTTTATGAACATAGATATCAGGTGGGCTGCAGCCATCAAGGACAGCTTCATAGTGTCAAGCTAGGAAGTGCAAAAGCCTCTAGTGAGACAGAAGGGGGGGCATTTAGGTGAGATGACAATACAGGGGGGAGCAGGGCTTATGATGTGTACAAATCCTTGGTGTGTCTTCTTGCCCTCCCCATTCTGTGCTTAAAGCCAACTTAACCATTCTAAAGCCTGCCCCTAACCCTGTTGGTGTTGCGCTAAAAAATCTGTGATGCTCCCTGGATGAAACCTCTACTCCTTTATTGGAAACTTTCTCTCTGGCCCCCCTTCATTTTATAACCATCTCTCACCCCTCTCCTTCCCTCACTCTGAGAGATTCACTCTTTATTCTTTTCCTGTCCTCTTCTGACAGTTTCACTTCCTTCTCAAATATAGATTGTACTACCATCTGCTGGGTGCTAGTGGGGATGTTTGTGGGGTGGGCCTGTTGGAGGCAGCACCTCTGCTAGGATACCTTGGACCTGGGCGTTAGCCCTGTGAGTCCTTGATAGAGACTTTCCAAGATGCTCAGAGAGAATCAGTGACACAGCCTTAAAGGGGGACTGAGGAGGGGCTGCTAGAGAGAGAGAAGCAGAAACAGGGAAGAGGGGAGTCCCATACCAAGGTGAGGCCTGATACCATGAAGATGAAGACTCAGGAGATTCAGGAGATGGGAGGTAATGGGTGCGCTTTCCTAGGAAGGATTCAGTGGAGAAGGCATTTGACCTTGGAGGAAGTGGCAGACAAGAGGTGGAAATATTGCCTTTATTTAAACTATTCTATCAAGACAATTGGGTTTATCCTTTTCTAGTGACTGGGCTAATTGTTTCCCTTTATGCAAGATACCCACTTCTCATGTTCTGAGCTGCCAAGAAACTGAGGTTGTTGATGAAAAGGTGGCCTGATAATATGAAGTCAGAATAATGGAGGTAGGAATGGGGATTTTGCTGAACTGTGGAAGAGCCCGCTGACCATTACCCACCTTGTAGAGGGACTCGTTCCCCAGTGTCCAGATTGCCTGTAGCCCCCCACATCCAGAGCCTGGACACTGGCCAATTTGGTTTCTCAAAAACAAATACATTCCCTGATGTGTTTTTTTTTTTTTAATTTAAATTCTGTTTTGTCCTTGCTAGTTTTCAGAATTCTTGGAGTTCCCACTGTTTCAGCTTATATTACGCACCCTTACGGTCTCTGTTCAAATGCCACCTCTTTCAGGAAGCCACCTCTGATTTTCTCCTACTCTCGTCCCCTGCCACAAGGCAAGGATACTGTTCCACAGTTTGGTTTCTAACCCTGCCATGACCCTCTGCTCTCTATAGTCAGGAATTTAGACAGGTGCTTGAATCCTACCACTCATACCTCTTTCCCTGAGATTCTCAACCCAGAATCTATAGTCAGAACAATGGTGAAATAGATTACCATTTGATTGGGGGCAAATACCCTACTTGCCTTTATTTAAACTATTCTATCAAGACAATTGGGTTTATCCTTTTCTAATGACTGGGCTACTCATTTCCCTTTATGCAAGATACCCACTTCTCATGTTCATCATACGTTCCATACCCAACGTATGACTCAGTTGAGCATTGGCTTAGAGTTAAGTCCCAAGTGAAGCCTCCTGGTCCCTTCTCTTTCCTGCTCACTTCTCCCTGTGCTAAGATGGCCATGTTTGAGGAATAGACCTTGAATCTTAACCCAGCCAGCTACATGGATGATGCTAACTAGCCTGCCCTTGGAGCCCCATACCCAGCCTAGAAATTAAAAACACAACACTATTTGCAGTTGCTTATCTTAAAGGCACGATGATATGACCACTTGTAAAACATTGCCCAATCCATGATTGACTATTGACTTCTGATCACAATTTCTCCTGTCTTGGGAAAGAGCTGGTAAGGAAGTGGAGAGGAGGCCAGAGCGTGGGGCAAAGGGAAGAAGTTTATTGGGCTCCCTACATCCTGCCCATAGGTAGTGTGTGTGGTATATGGATACCTAACTCCTCACCCTATAATCAGGAAGTTCTTCAAAGGTAACAATGTACATCAGATGTATCTTTGTATCCTCCATGAATCTAGCTTGCTAATACACTAAGTAGAGCCAACTCTGAATAGGTGCTTATGGTCTGCCATATGAGGACCCTTATCCATATAAACTTTAATCCTTACAGCAATACTGCGAGTTAAGTACTATTATTACCTTCACTTTAGAGTTAAACTGACCCACAGAAAATGTCAATATCTTAGCTAAAGTCAGAAAGTAGCAGAGAACTGGATGGGGGAGGGTTGTTGATTGACTTCAATAAGGTGGTGTAAGGTGTCTTGCCTGCTGTTGTGGACATGTACGTGGCAATGCTTTTACATGTGAACTTGAGGGCTTTGGAAGTGATATGGGTAGGACTGTAGGTTTGTAAGCATTGGAGTGCCACCATGAAGGCTACGTTCGCTTGTGTGTGGAACTTTATAAAGTCTTTCAGCATTTTTACTTCATTATCTGACTCTAAAGAGAGCAGAAACAACACTGGGGGCAGTCCAGGAAGAGGCTGATGCAGAGCTTCTCAGAGATGAAACTGAAGGATGTGGCCAAACAATTTCTGGTTAAGACTTCAAGGAATCAAGTGCTAAATTAATACCTGAACACTGTGATCCAAGCAGTTAATTAGAAGCAATAAATAGCAAGCCAGAAGCCATTAACCATCCAGCAGAGTATGGCAAAATAGGCTCAAGGGATTGCAAAAAAGGAACAGACAGTGTCCGTGAATTAGACAAGAATGGAAACCACAAAACCATACTGAGAATCTGAAAAATCAATCAGGAATGTTACAAGAATATCTGAAGGGAGGAAATGATAACAGAAAAAAATGAAGAAGAAAACAATGGCTGTTAATTGTTCTGCAATACAGAACAGTTATTGGAAGGGTTTACAAGTCCATGAGAGGAAAGAAAGAGAAGGAAGGGAAGAATTTAGACAGCTTTCTTTGTAAAGTCCCAAATCTATGTTATTT